GAGGAAAGGACACATCAAAATCATTTCTCAAGGAGTTTCATTCAGAGCGCATATTTTCCCAATGTGTGTTTGGCTGTTTGAATATTTAGGATTATCCTAAAGTTCCATTTCCATCCTTCCACCATGATACTAAAAGACTACATTCCGTTCCAGTGAAACCAAATCACCTTGTAAATAGGGACAGGGTACTTTTTTTTTTGTTTTCTTACAACACACCTTTTGAAACCCAGAATAAAACATCCTGAAGTTCTCATTAGAAATCAATCAATCTTCATTGACTAATCCGGGATCTGGAACTCAGTCAAGTTGAAGAACTGCTCTGAAGAAATGAAGGTTCTTGTTTGGCTTCAGATTCACTTCCTCTCACTGTGCCTCTTGTACAGTAATAGACAGCCGTGTCTTCAGCTTTAAGACTGTTCATTTGCAGATACAGCTGGCTTTTGGCATCGTCCCTGGAGATGGTGAAGCGTCCCTTCACTTTCTCTGAGTAGTAAGTACCAGATGAGCCTGGATTTATGTAGGCCACCCATTCCAGTCCTTTCCCTGGAACCTGTCTCACCCAGCCCATGTGATAGCTGCTGAAAGTGAATCCAGAGGCTTGGCAGGAGAGACGGAGGGACCCTCCAGGTCTTCGCAGATCTCCTCCAGACTCCACGAACTGCACTTGAGACTGGACTCCTAAAAAGAAAGTTTTTTTAATGAGATCTCCTGCATACAAGAGCAGAACATGGAAATAAAAGATATAGTGGAAATCATTACCTTTGAGGACTACTAGTAAGGACACAAGGTTTAGCCACATTTTTGATTGTTCTAATGAATCGAAAAGGGACAGGAGAGGATTCAGGAAATATCACAAGGTTTATGATTCTTGGAGTTGTATAAAAAGGGAAACTATGGGGCTCCTTTAAAAGGGAAATTGTGCCTCGATTTACATATCTGTTGGGATAAAAGAGCCTCTCAGCGCATTGACAAACAAACTTCTGTAAACATCACTTCCATGTTCATTTTGTAATTAACATTCCAGTCCTAAGAAAAGAGTTCGGACAATTTTTTGTTTGTGAATTAATAGGAAAAAGTGCCAGTTTGCTGCATATTAACTAACAGAAAAGACTGAAAAATTTCAGCCCTTCTCAAAATGATTGAAGGTAATAGAGATGAAACTAATTTACTTATTAGAGAACATATAAAAAGGCTAGCACATCAGACTTAGAATCTTTACTACAAGATATCCTCCTTAACCTTTTTTTTTTGTTTTATGGAAAATAAATGGCAGCTAAACTTCAAGGAACATTGGGTCACTAGAATAGTTGGGCCATTCAACTCACAAAATCAAACTTAAGTCATATTGTGACCAAATACACCCTTTTATCTGAAACAGAATGATAAATAATTCTCTTCGTATTATTCAAAATGTTTTGTTTGCTCTAGGTTATCTGTCATAAAGCTTCCAGGCAAGGATTTTGGTGCCTTGAGAAATTAAATTCTTTTGAAATCCATTAAAGGAAACTTTAAAATTTTCTGGGTTGGTGTATGTATTCGCCTTCATAATGTTTGAACTGTTTAAATGTTCAGTGAATATGATAATATAAATCCTTCATTTTGTTTTCATTTTCAGCAAAGGTTTGAAAGGTTTAGACAGTTTCTCTGGTGACAAAACCGACAATCAATTATTTGACAAAAATTCTCAGCTTCCCAGTGCACACTGTACCATCCTGAGATGTGAAATTTTCTTGAGGTATTTTCAGAAAATTATTACAGAAATAAAATAAAAATGTAACTGGCCTCCAAAATATCTAATTACAGTTGTTTTACTCCCTACCTCACCCCTGCACACACAATGGGATTTCATGTAGCAACATTGCCCCCCAGTGTCAAAAATGAGGAGGGGAAGCATGTTCCTAATTCTCCAAGGATTTTGTTTTACTGGTGTTTCCTCCATATGTGAATGGCAGTTTGGATATTTAGGAGGTTCACCATGAGACTAATTTCCAGACTTCTGCTGTGATATTAAAGGACAATATTCCATTCCTTTTTTCCCTCAAGATAGATCACCTTGTAAACAGGGAAGATGAAATAGGAATTTTAAAGCCATTTTCATCATCCTCTATTTTCTTACAGCAAACTCTCTGATACCCAGAATAAAATATTCTGAAGTTCTCTCTAGACAGAGATCAAATGGAATGGAATACGGTCTCCTCTTTGAATGGGGGGGTTGGACTAGAAGAT